AGAGTGCGAGACGCTTGCTGGAAAAAAGAGCTCTTGCAGTTACTTGATGGCTCCGCGCACAAATACAAACATCAGATCCTCTGCTGGGGCAGATGTGAGATATATCTTCTCAACAAAACATTTATAGTCATCAATAAGTAATGTTCTCGTCATTCCAATATCTTCCCAAGTTTTGAGAATTATCATTATGTAGTATGTAAAATGTCAATGAGCAAATAATGACATGCTTTCCATGAAGTTGATATAAACACTGAGATTTCAGTCAAGTTTTGAATAGGAGAGTAGTCAAATTGTAGAGATCAGTTTGAGATATTTCTTGAGGATCATGTTCGAAAGATGGTGTTCATCGAAGGCGATGCGGATGCAGATCGACTTTCGTTGTAATCATGCAAGTTAAGAATGGATTTTCGACGAGGGCCATGCCTGAAATGCACCTTAGTTCAATTAATGAGTTTCCTACATGGAAATTGTCGAAAAGTTAACAGAAGTTAAATTTTACTCAAAGCCAATCTACGCCTATCGATCAACTGATCATTTCTTGATTGCCATCCATATAAATATTGGATGTAGAATTTCGTCAGCAAAAGCTACTATTGCTAGCTGACAGCTTCAAAACCAAGTCCTCATTTTACAAAGTGCATATAATTTTATATCGATTCTGAAATGCACTTCAACATTGCAGGACTGTCGACAGCGCTATCGTTTTCGCATTACAACGCAAAAATCTGACCTCTTCTTGACAAGAGTTGTCGTTATCTGTTTAATTCTTCTAACATTACTCATTATATGACATACGAAAAATTAGATGTTAAAGGATGGGCAACAGGGAACTGATTATAAAAATTATCCAAGGAGGCAAGAATACTATTCCCATAATAGTTCCTGTGCTTTTTGCAATCACGAATTAAAGCTTACCGCTTATCTGAGAGCCTTTCCAAGCGATCCCATTCCTCTTGGTAAGTCTCAAACAGCTTCCTAGGATCGCGTCCGTACATCTCCTTCTTTTCTTTGAATTTTTTTGGGACTTGAAAAAGTATCTATAGTTACTGTTAAATTGTTTACATTTTAAAGATATAATTTACCTCGCTCATCTGGACTGACTGAGCGGGAATGTGTATGAGAGTTATATGATGAGGCAACATCAGGTTCCGCTTCAATAATGATTGGAATTATAGGAGATGGCTCGATGTGCTAAGAAATCAGAAATTCATCCTGTACTCGTTCACTCTTCTTGACAATACCTGAATGTCTTCGAGGGCAGCAGGAGGTTCTATTATTATGATTTGAGGCTCTTCCACCTCTTCATCACTGAGTTGCTCCGGCAATTCTATGTGACAGACTTCTGCAGGAGGGGAAAACACCTAATGAGAGAAATACATTAAAATGCAAAGAGAAGTCCCATTATTTAGTAATTTGGCATGAGGCTAAACAGATCATTCCCGCTTAAATATATCATGCTCTGACCTGTTCAACGATTGGCGGTGAATACATCGGCATTTCGTTGGAGAGCGTATGAAAAACGGGATTTTTTATGACCAGATCAACATTGTTCGTTGCAGGCGGAGATCTAAAACAGTGGTCTACCATTTTTTTTACTGTTTGTAGAAGAAGTTGGTTTTTTGGGACACAATCATGTCGTATGTTATTCATTACTGATTTAGACCTTGCCTGATAAGACTGTAATGTGTCACGTGAGATTGATTTGATTTGAGAGTTGAGAAGTGTCATTTTTTAGAAAATAGATAGGCAAAATGCAAGAGACTTTGATTGATTATCTAACAGATAGGGAAGAAATGGTATTGTAGTAGAATTCAGACAACTCTTT